GAGCGCGACAAGGTGTTAGGTTGCATGGGTGGGGTAGGGATGGAAGTTCTTGGCTGGAGGTAGGAGAGAGAGAAGGGTGTGATGGGTTGGGAAGGGATGGAAGTCCTTGCCTGGAGGTAAAAAGAGAAAAACAGTATGATGAGGATGGAAGTCCTTGGCTAGAATTAAGACCGAGAAGAGTGTGATGAGTTCACTGAGGAGAGAAGACTTTGGCTTGAGGTGAGAGAGAGAAAGGTGTTAGGTTGCATGGGTGGGTAGGGATGGAAGTCCTTGGCTGGAGGTAGGACAGAGAGAAGGGTGTGATGGGTTGGGAAGGGATGGAAGTCCTTGCCTGGAGGTAAAAAAGAGAAAAAGAGTATGATGAGGATGGAAGTCCTTGGCTTGAGGTAAGACCGAGAAGAGTGTGATGAGTTCACTGAGGAGAGAAGACTTTGGCTTGAGGTGAGAGAGAGAAAGGTGTTAGGTTGCATGGGTGGGTAGGGATAGAAGTCATTGGCTGGAGGTAGGACAGAGAAGGGTGTGATGGATTGGGTATGGATTGAAGTCCTTGGGTTTGTTATGAGCAGGAGACATGCAATGTTTATTATATCCGGAAATTCAATATAAAGATGTTTGTTATAACAAGGTCATAGTGTATTTGGTTGCATACAGAAGGATGTAGTAATAAATTAAATACATTTTGTAGTAATGTAGGAACTAGTTTTATTTGACTATTTGAAAGAATCCTCCCTGGATGGTTGCATGAATGAACATCAGGAAATGTCATAGTTGCTAGTTTCTATTGACGACTAAGCCATTGTCGTGGCGCTGTGTTCAAAAACAAACAAACAAACAAAACTTATCTATGCAGTCTGCATTTTTTTGTGTGTTAATAACAATTTTTTTTTTTAAGCTTCAAGCGACTGCATGATTTTTGTTTTGATGCGTGTCAAATAGAATAACTAATCAAAACATTGCATTAAACTAGACTACATGTATATCTTAACTGTAATTGGCACTTAGCGTGGTTCACTCAGTCGGGATCCATTCTTGTCAATAACTCACCTGTGCCAGTGCCGTTCAGCAATCAATTTATCTTCTAAATCGGGGTGGATTATGTCTGTCTGTCTGTCTGTCTGTCTGTCTGTCTGTCTGTCTGTCTGTCTGTTCAGAGTCATATTTCTATACCTTCAAAACTGAATTATATCTGTGAGACTTGTGTATCATTTTCATTTATTTTGGCATGCACATGATACATGTTAGAATGCATGTCGTGTCAGTTTGTTTCATATTCAGATGGCTGACTGGCAGCCATTTCCTTTTTTTTTGCCATACTTCATGTACTATATATCTTAGATACCCATGTACCAGTATTGTTTATGTCAATTTTTATGATTATCTTCTAAATGTGGTATTTAATGTACCTAGTCCAAAATTAGAAAATATGAAAAAAATTATTATTTGTTTATTTTGTGAAAAGAAAAAAAACGATTTACTATATTTCAATAACTTAATATGTTTATTTTGTAGATATTATTTTATAGGTTATGGCAATGAATATTTGAACAACTTTTCAATATAATTATAATAATTTTGTTCATATTATTATTAAGTACCTCACATAAATCAAAATTTTATTGATATAGAAATGGAAAATTAATTACCTTCAGTTGTAGTATCACAGCTGTGGTATTGTGGGGATACTTGAAACAGTTTCTTGTTGTTATGGAACATTTGCTATGTTCCGACTGCACGCTAAACCAAATCATAAATGTTTCCATAAATGTTTCAAATCCCGCTTTGTTTGTCAACGGATTATGTCCATGGAATTTCGACACATCTGGTTCCAATCAATATCTGGCATCCGCATTCCGAAATTCCATTCTTAAAAAATAGTCACACAAGTGTCGCTGCATTATCTAAAAATAGCACTTCTTCTGTGACATAACTACAGAAAAGAATATTAAACGGCACATAAAAAGTAAAACGTCAGACGATTTGAAATTGTGTAGCAGACTGGAATGGCACTTAAAAATACAATGTTTTGAAAATCTCAGTGTTGCTCTTATCTCTGTGACATGTGAAGTAAAACCCACAAATAATAATTCTTGTGACAAACGTTCAAGACAATCTGTTAACATCTGGGTTGTTTGTTTGAATCCAACTTAATAAATCATATTAATTCTTTAGTGGTGTCATTCGAAGCTGTTGTGTTGTTTGTTGCTTATTGTTGTATTTCATGCCCGAATCAGATGAATTTATGAATAACAAATCAGATCAGTACTGTGTTGCTTTCCACTATATTGCTTTATACCTAGATTTCTCTAACTTTTACAGTGTTTTTCTTTTATATCCTAGTACTGTTGACAAAACAAAAATAAAGTATGGTTACCAAACTGCTTTTCACACATAAAAAAAATTGCCCAAAACTTCTATAAAAAAAAAAATTGTGATTTTGGACAATTTTTATGATGGTAAAAAGACTTTGCTCGTAACATCATTTATATTTGTTTATCATTAAAAAATTCCTGCAGCTTTTGATGAAAGCATATAATTGGATTGATAGGTAATAAAGAAAAAAAATATTTTTTTCTGGTTTTTTGATTTCAACAAATTTGTACGGTAGTACACCTTTTGTTTTGTTTTCTTTAATTTTTCTGTATTTGAACAGAAACCAGGAAAAATTTTGTTTTTTTGTGCATTATAAGTCATGAGTCTGTATTGCATTGTCCACCCATTACTGGGGTATACGAAAACATACATGTTTATTTTAAGCATGAATCTTTATACAAATGTATAGCAGATCACATCATTATTATATAATAGTACTTTTGCGATTGTTGTTTAAAAAATATATATATATACGGGGCTTGATATTTGAAGAATCTCTGTCTGTACTTTTTTTGTTGCCCGCGCTGCACAGAATAATTGGATGCGTTGATTTCAAGCCACACAATACTGTACTGTGAAATGTACATACACTGT